TCACAGAACAAGGACAGTGACTGTATGCAGAAGAGCCATCTGTGTGTGCACTTCCTATGAGCTCAAAACGAGTCTCAAAGAAATTCTCTGCTGCTCTGACAATTCACTTGTATGTTCTTATTAGCAGTTATTGAGGAACTGGCAGGTAGCCATTTGTGTCACTTGACTAAAATCTTCTCTCATCTGAAGGGCAAAGTCATTCTGCCTGGCATCAGCTTTCAGTCCTCCCCCTTCCTCTTTCACAAGCATGTGAATGTTGTAGAGTTTCCCAGCAGGCAAGTCACTTTTTGGCTTGTCCTCATAGACCTGCAGCTTTGGAAAATATATGCTAACGTGCCATGACCAGCCCCAGGGTGCTTCCCAAACAGAGAGGACACAACTGTTTATCAGTTTCTGCCTCCTAACAGACCTCACCTCCTGACCTCTGGGCCACGTTCTGCTCCTCTGCTCTTTTTCCACGTCTAGACTTGACAAACACAAGCAGCTAGGACTGGAGCCATCCTGTTCCCTCCAACACCTTCCCATAGGTTTCTTTATATGTACTTAAACAGCGGCCCAGATAAGCATATAATAACAAACAAGCAGACATTTAAAAATCCAGATAAGGTCAACTGCTAGAATTATACCTTGTGTCCATTTAGCTGCAACAGAGTGCATGGAGTGAAGTGGCAGGTCAATAATCAACTCCAGCTATTAATCTGTTTCCGCTGATTGAAGAGATTTGATGTGGCTATTTGTTTTTAGTCGTGACAGCAGCATTGTTGCTAGGGATGGCAATATCACTGTTCAGTCCATTGTTGCAGTCAAACATCTCAATGACTACTGGGTGCTTTGCCTTGACGTTAAATGGGATGATCAAGTTGTTTTTTTTCCTCTAATGCCACATCAAGTCATAATTTGCTAGCATGTGCACAATCTGTTAATATGCTAACATGCTAAATATAAGATGGTGAACATGGTAAATGCACCTATAGCATCAACATGTTAGCAATGTCATTAACAGCATGTAAGCTCAAAGTACAGTCTAACAGAGCTGCTACAGTGGCGATAGACTCTTGATCGTGTTTGGTTTAGTTTGCACTAGTGTAGTATTGGTTTTTAGATTTTACTGTTTAAAGTCATGCTTTAGGCTTTTCTCTCAACATTTTGGGGCCATGTCTGGAATTAAATGCTTATATCAGTGTGTTTTTGTTGCTCAAAAAAAGGGATAAAAATGGATGGTAATTTTGTCATGACAAGAATTGTAGTACAGGTGATCAAAAAGTTCTGGGACAGTCTGTGGTGTGTGAGCATAAAGCAGGAGTCAAGATGTTGTGTAGCATTGTGCTATCAACATTGGGAGCTGTGTCACACATGCTGTTGTGAGCACTGGTAGATGCGTGTTTGTAATTTCTCTGTGGATTCCAAACTGGAGCAGAGAAGACAGCATCAAATTCTGTGTCAGTCAGCAGCCGGGATTATCCAGCCTTCATGTGTGAGATCATGACTGGTGATGAAACGTGGGTCTGCAGCTACCACAGACAGGAGAAACAGCAGTTTTCCCAGTGGAAGAGCCACAGCCTCCAAAACCAGATAAGATGTGTCAGCTCAGGAGTGCACCAGGAGCTCGCTCAATATTTTCTTCAGCATCTCTGTGGTTGTACGCTGGGAATTCGTCCCCCAGGATCCGTCTGTCAATGCAGAGTTCTATTGTAACATCCTAGGATGTCATTACACCACTAAGCTGCTTCTTCAGTGAAGTATTTTGTCAGACTGTTAAAACAAAAGGCAACAGCAGTTGAAGGATGAGGAACAATATCTATGATTTTCATGCTAAAGCACTCTTACAAAGACCCATAATTAGACGTCTGTAAACATGCACAACAGAAACTTGTAGTGCTTTCATTAATACGAATTGTACATGAGTAGTACCCTGGTGTTGTTTACTGTCAGTATTTGTACCTTGGCTCCTTTCTCCCTCTTTAGACCCATGATACAGCAGCCATCATTTCTACTTTTGACTTTTCCCATCTTTCCTCCGACCAGCTTCCACACCATTTTCCTGCTTTGAAATCACGCATGATTCGTCCATTGATAGAGTTGTGCCGCTGCTCTGATGTCACTCAAAATCTCACTCAAAGCCCATTCCCAGTAACCATGTTACAGGCAGAATACATTCTCCCTCTGCTCCCTCACTATTCACTGCATTTCTTCCAGAAGCTGGGGTCCCGATTCAATTTTTGCATCGATCTTGTGCAAAAAAAACAGTAACAAAATCAGATCAGAGGAGTACTAAAAGCTTTCCCCTAAATCAATCAAAATACATGAATAAGTTACTGGTGCCTTAGTATGTTTTAGGGGATATTACCTTAGTTATGCCATTTCAAATATGAAATCAAAAGTACCATAATCTATAGTAAAACTTACCATTATTTTCATTGATGGTCGTGCTGCAGCCTATGCAAGGATCGCAGCATAATGGTTGGTTGCAGTCTCATATATCACACCAGTGTCTAAATAAATGATTTGTTTGTGATTAATAGAAAAAATTCTCTCTCAGATCACTGGTTAGGAAAACTACTAAGCATACACAGGTTTCTGTATGAAGGTGTATGAGTTGTCCGGCAGCCTATCAGCGCACGGCAGCCGACTGGCTCCAGGTCCAACTGTGACAAGGCCCGGGCAAATTCCTCACCCCAGTGGCCAAGTACTTAGACTTGTCACGTCCAACTTTGACAGATGACTTCTTGAAAGTAAAGAGATATGCATTTTACAGCTCAGAGCCAGAGGGAAGAATTCATGAGTGTATGTACGGGGACAGAGATGTATGTCTGCCAAAACTGGATGCCCATTCTGAAACTGAAAGGCAGCGGCTGGCTGGGGACGCTTCAGCTGTTGTTAGTGCCGGAGAAAGCTGCGGATATTATTTGTGAGTTACTGCTGCTGCTGCTGCTACATACAGTATGTTCATCAGTCACTTTGTTATCCAATCCTTAGTTCACTCTTGACAGCATGTCTCATTTTGTGACAACTTCTTATCCACCATCAGCCAACAGACAGAATTAACTTGCAGATTAAATGTTTGTGACTCGTATTGATTTATAGATTGGAACCGAAGCGAGCCGTGTGCGTGCATGAGTGTGTGTGTCGCTGAGGGTGTGTTCTGATGGCCTGCATTAAAAAGAGTAATAACCTCACAGATGGCGAGGGGCCGGTCCGGAGCAGGCTATGTGATGGAGAACAATCGTTGAGGCTTGATTGCTCAAGGAGCACAAGGCAGACCTGACAGGGGGAGGGGTACCAGGATATCTATGTGTGTGTGTGTGAGTGTGTGTGTATGTGTGAGAGAGAAGTGGGTGGAGGGGGTTGTTTAAGTTTAACTAGGCCACTGCTACCCTTTACAAGGCTGACAATGATGTGGTTTGTCGCGCACATAGAGTAGATCAAATCAAATTTCATATGCTGCTCCCGGGTTTCATCTATTTGATTCATCATCACCTCAAGTATGTGGAAATCATTTGTATTCTTTCACAGCAGCACATTCATTCCTCCCTGTGGAGAGATGATTCAGTATTATATGGATAGGTGCAAAAGTCAGCCAGTGTAAAAGGACAATAAATCCACCTGTCACTTATGCAAAGTGATGTAAATGGGGTCCCTGATTAAGACACAGAGTCATTTAAAAAACAGGGACTGGCAGAACCTTGACACACTCACACACTCAGTCTCCAGCTCTCAGTTTTACACATGTATGCACACACTCACAATCTCAAACTCACACTCGAAGCCACTCACACATACACACACACGCTTTGATAGTTCTATGTATCTCGAGCTCTCTCTCCCACACACACACACACACACACACACACAAACCAAATCCCCCGCCGCCCTGCGCCTGCCACTAGAGCAGTTTATCAAGTAATTATTGTTTGATTACAGCGTTTCATTATCTGCACTGATTGAGTCACAACCGACGGCAAAGGTCAAGCGCCATTAACGCGCTGCTCCCGAAACATATTTCCACGCCGGCCGCGTGTTTGCCCTCCCTCTCCTCTGAAAGGGCTAATTGCAAATGCATTTGTTTGAGGAAGAGGAGAGGAGACCACCCGCTCCGATCTCCCCCAAGTCCCTCTGAGACGGAATTATCAATGCTGCCCATAGCGTTCATACAGGGACACACACACACACACATACGCAGATACACATGGGAGCAGTTTGGGGCCATATGCAATCATACTTAACAACTGATAGCCATCAAACACAGATCCACCAGCTTTCATAAAACCATTTTGGACAATAAGCTGGTGATTGACTACTTCTGATTTTACACATTAATAATGAGTCCTCGTGGCCGAGATCTGGGCAGCATAATCACTGCATTTACCAACATGTGGAAGCACAGTGTGGGCGAAAGCCTGAGCTTCAGGGTTTGCACTTTTAGCTGTAGTTGTGTTTATTCATTCTGTGACTGTTTAGTGAATCTCCAAACCTTTGAATTCTTAAATTACACTGAAAGATCAGGTCTTCCTTTATGATGTGAGAAAATAGTTTGAGCTTATATAATCCATTTAAAATCCCCAACAAAGTGTTTTCCTTACCTCATTGAAAATGACATTTTGAAGATACACAGTTTTGACAGTAAAGTGACCACTTATCATGCTGTTGTCACTGACTGTTCTATAAAATCCTCCTCTAGCCTTCATGTTGTGTGTTTTGGTACAGATTGTACATTCTGTGAGTACACTCTCAATAGTGAGTGACAAGAGTTTCCCTCAATAGAGTCTGAATGAGGGATTTAGATTGAATTAAATTAAGTCCTGTTCTGCTACCAGATAACAAATATCTGTTTTCTTTTGATTCGGGCATCATTGCTTCTCAGTGAATAAGTATGAATTTGAATGCTCAATGTCCAGCTATTAATCATAGTTTCTAAAAGTTTAGGGTGAGCATATAATATTTAAAGACCTCACTGGAATGGTACCAAACTATGCTGTGTATGATGTATAACGATTCCATACCTGGGTGGGAAAGAGATCTCCAGTTCATGCAGCCGATCCTTGAACACCGACAGCTCTTTGTCAAACTCTAAAAGCTGTGGGAAGCAAAAGAGGAAGAAAAAAAGAATGGAAATGGAGAGAGAGAGAGAGAACATTAATCAACTCATTATGAATGATTGTTTTTTAACATTTCTCATCCAGGCAGTCAAATGAGCATACACCATTTATATTCATTCAGTTTGTACATTCACATCTCAAAGCAGCTCAGAACAGTTCTCTACAACGTTCCTGATCACAGAAAATCACCATTATACTGGTTAAAACTTCAAATTTGTCTTCAGGGAACACTTTAGGAATATTTTATGAAAAAAAACAAAAAACAAAAACAAAACATGACAAGATACTCAAGTCTGTCTGGAGTCAGTCAATGTTAATTTCTGATATTAACTGAACCTAGAGGTCAATACTTCCACCAGAATCGGTGTTAGTGAGGCGTTGATAAGAATAAGCCCAAAGACAGCTGACGAGGATCGAAGACGAGGATCCCATCTTCGGGCTTATTCAGTTACATCCATACACCCGACACCGGTGAAATATTGACAGCAGTTGACCAGTTATGTGTGTGTGTGTGTGTGTGTGTGTGTGTGTGTGTGTGTGTGTGTGTGTCACTAGCCCTGTCCTGCTGGGGTCCATCTCTCCACACTGACAGTGCATCCACACACTCTTCATCAATCATGTCTCCTCACCCAGCTGTACTCACTCACTAGAGTGTACACACACACTTCCCCCAATTTCCCCCCTTTCACAAAACCCATAAATCATTAGTGAAAAGTGCAATTAGCGGCTCCTTGTACACATTAATTATCTGGGAGATGAACAGGTAGCTAGGGCACCTGCATGACTGCCTCCCTGAGAGACTGACAGCGACGTTTCCCAGCAACCCCTGGAGGACCTCGCACTAGCCCCGCCCCTCCCTTCCAGACAAGAAGACATGGAGATGGAGCGGAGACATGTTTGTTTAGTGGTAAATTGGGCTATTGTACATGTTTCAAACAGCGGGCTACAATTATGGCCTGCTGAAGACCTCATCCACGATGGTACGAGTCTGACAGCGGCTCCATAGGCAGCTTGACGTTAATGACATTACATTGGTGTAGTACACGCAGCGATATGTTGATGGGTACATGATGAACTATCAACGGAGATGACGTGGTGCACATGGGTAATATTTGGAAGGACGTCCTCACAAAGTGGAGGCACGGAGGAGTGAGTTGGATGTCATGCGGGTATTATTATATCAGCACAAGGTAACTACTGTCTTCCATCTACGCTGACATATTTATGTTGTGCATGTATGACCGTCTATGCGTTGTCTGTCTTCGCGTCACTGCTGAGTACACATTTATAAATAAGTCCAGTATGTGGCTCCTGTGTGTTTGTGTGTGTGTATGTGTGATTATGTGCCAGTGGTGTAGAACAGTGGCCATTACTCGAGGCAGAGGGGCCTCCCAGACAGAGTCTCGGCGGTTCAGGAGGGCAGATGTGCCGCATTCATCAAACTCACACTGCCGGGGTCACAGGAGAGACTCACCCACTGTGGATGAGGGATGGCAGAGCAGGGGATGCAACCCCACGCTCCACTGTACACCCCATCTCGCCATCCAACCCACTCATACCTTCCTCTACTCTGTGTTTTACAGCTTGACCAACGCTGGAATTTTGAGGCCGATAGAAATATTCATAATTGAGAGTTTGAAGGTTGTCAGATAGAAAATTTGCCAGAGGGTGCTTAGGAGGTTCCCCACAACACAGCAGGATGGAGATGATAATGTGAGCCTACACTCTGAGAGATTAGTAAAAAATTTGAAGGAAACTGACTATTGAGAAGTTTGGTCTTGCTATGTTTGGTATTTTTTCCAAAGCCCAGTGTTAACAGCCTACATATCTATATACAGATATTCAATAGGTCATCTTAGCTGCAGTGACACAGCTGCTGAAATCCACAATAGCAGCTATCAGTTACCATCACAGCTCACTAAATGTTTTTAGTTCTCACTGCTGGAACGTGGTGAGAAGCCCTGGAGGAGGTACTAAACAAAGAAAAGGGCTTTGCTGGCTGATATATTTAAGCAGCCTGCAGGTGATGGTGAGGACAGTGGTGAAGAGGCAGAAACATCAGAGAGGAGCGAGCAGCTGCTGTGTCATGCTTACATGCTCTATGCTCTGAACTGGCTAAATAAACGAACAAGATGTTTTTGTTCACTTTGGAGTTTCAATGCTAAAATTCGTGCTAAATTTCTTGTTGAAAAAATGCTCAACTTTGACTGTAAATGGGTCAAATAAATATGTAAATCTGATCATTTCTTCTACACTAATCATCAGTTCTTTTTTGCATTAAAGCTTATGAGGCAATTAATATTTGCTAGTCAGTCAAGTAACAAAAATAATATGTTAAATCCGACAGTCTAAATAAACAGATGAAGATGCTTCTGTAGAAAAAAAGGGAAAGGATGGAGGAAGAGGGAGCAGGACTCAGCAAAAATCTAACTCAAGGTCCACTACTGAATGTTACTGTGTGACTGTGACATAAATTAGCAGCCTGTTACATCAAATTAGGTGTTGCATTAATTTAACTTTGAATTTTTGCTTACTAGTTTCAGTATTTCAAATTTTAGGTAAACATTTTTGTTGCCAGTCCACCTTGCTGCTGAACTATGACTGAATAACCACTGTGTTTAAATTAGAAAATAGTATTTTTTCTACACAAACACATTTTTAAAATCTGTTTCAGTAAACATCGAAAGAAAAGACGCTTTAATGTGATAAATAAAGTGTGTGTGTGTAGCAATACATGCTCATACTGGTATGATGGAGATTGTTCATATCATGTATGTGTCCACTGGTGTGATTGTGTTTGTTCGGGTTAAGCGTGTGACAGTTTAAATAAGGGGATGAGCAACATATGGCTGTGTGTATCCACAGAGTCTGGTCCTTAAGTGAATGTTGAGTAATTCATCCAGGTGAACGGAAAACCCTGCAGCCACAAATTTCACACTACATTTCATCCCAGGTCAATTAAGCATAATGCTCTGCTGCTCTGCTAGGTCAGTGGTTTGAAAAAAAAAAAAGAAAAAAAAACAGCTTATACGGGTTCAAGGCCTCATGACATTATAAAGCCAGCAGTAGTTTGTCAACCAGAAATGACCTTGGGAGTTGTGGAGGAGGTGGCGCGAGATGATGCCACTCCGGCAATATCACAGAGGGAAAAAGATGAAGAAGTGTCTGGATAAAAACTACCCTGTCATGGGCTCAAATTTCTGACTTTGCTTGGATGATCAGCGCGCTACTAAATCAGACTGCTGCTGATAGTTAGGAGGCAGGAAGTGGAGAGGGGTAAAAAGAGGGAATACGGCGTCTTCGGCCTCCGACTGTCCCTCTCGGCATGCTGGCCGCTTGTCCACCACCTGTAATTGTGCTTTGATTTACGCATTGTCAAATATCCCCTGTGACAACACCTGCTGCCATTAAAACCCATCAATAAATGTTGGGGTGAAAGGTCATTTAATTTGATTTTTACACCTCACACTTGGCTTTCATTGCAGGGGCCATATTTTTCCTTCTTTTTATGGGGTCTTCATTATTTTGTGTGGAAAAGCGGTAAACTGTCACTGACGGGGGGGTTGGTGGATGGATGATTGGTGCCGAGAGGGGGCCGGCCCAAACAAAACACGACGCTGCACTTCACTGCAAACTCTTACTGAATGCCATTAGAGAACCGTCTTGTGATAAAATGATCAGTTAAGGGCACAGTTTTGTCTTTATTTCCCCTCAGAAGCATCGCTACAAGAGCGTTTAATGGCAGCAGTACATAATGCTCACTGTACTTGAGGGCTATCTATTGTGATAAGGCTAAGCAAGCAGTCAATACTTCCCTGAAGCATTCAGAACAGAGGCGAGCTAAATTAAAAGACATACCCAATGTAGCATCAGTTTATATAAATCCTTTAAGGTCAGATTTCATTTAGCAGGGCTTCTGTATCGCCGCTTACGAGCTCTGACAGGTGAAATATGAAAGAACTTTGGGCTGGGGCAGCATTTGTTCTTTATTTTTTTATGTCCCACTCATGTTTAAAACGTCTCGGGGCTTTTGAGTAATGCCGAGGACTACGCTGCCAGCATGACAAGGAGAGGCATGCCAGACAGAAAGGTTCATCACTTGCTAGAGCTAGTACACAAACACACCCTCCTCTCCTGGTCCCCCATCTGCCGACACCACACTGATAAAGTTACAATAAAGAGATACTGAAACAAAATCAATGGGGATGGAGGAGGGAGGCTGCCCTGTGTGTGTGTGTGTGTGTGTGTGTGTGTGTGTGTGTGTGTGTGTGTGTGTGTGTGT